TCCCGCACTTCTCGTTTGTGGAATTCTTTTCCGCTTTCCTTATTCCATATCAACTATGATATTCAAAAATTTAAATGTAATGTCAATCGACATCTTCTGTTTCCTTATAACCTGTTCTATTATTGTCCTTTGTTTATCTCACTCTTATCTCAAATCCCAGCCTTTGTCGCTTTGCTTGGGGTGAAATGATTACACTAGAAAAAAGATCTTCGCTTCTTTGAGATAGTGAATGTTCAATCCTCTTAGATCTAATTATTTTCAATAGAAATCAAGAGAGGTACAGTTTTTTCAGTAATCTTACCGAATGCAATAATCTTGCCTGGATAGTTTTAATTTCTGCTTGGAATTGCAATTCTTATAGTATTTTTGCAAAGATATTCAGAATTGTTTCAAACTCATCACTAACTAGCTGGATCATTTCTCGTTATTGACAGCAAATTCAGATATTTTTCCATGTTTTAAATTTCTCAGATGAATCATTTCATAAAAAAATTCTCCTTGGAATAAAAAAAATATTTCTTTCTAAAATTCGATATTTTTTCACTTTTTATATTATGACACATACAACGAGAAAATAACCCGAGGTAACTGATATTAACGTTTTGTTGATATTCTGTATTATTAGAAAGCAAAAACATTTGATATCTGTGTATATTTTTGATAACTGACATCCATTAAACATGGCGCGTGGAACTACAACAGTATACCACACCAAGCGAAATAAAGGGCTCAGTTCGACATTCCAGCCACGTGATGAAGGCCGGAACGTACAACGGCCGAAACGCTGTGATAAATATGGCAACAAAGAAGAAGATGATAGTCCGAGCAATGTAAATTAAAACATTTGAATTCAGCTGTATATCTTATACGATAGATTATAGTCGTCTTGGAAATCTTTTATCATAAAATAATACTTTAGTTAATTTTTCTGTGTCATTTATATTATATATACATCGCCATATCGTTTACTTTTCTTTATTAGTTTACCCACATCACAAAATAATATCAGTAATACTTACGTCATTTTGAATCAAGTGGCTTAATGATTCTTATGTTACTGATGTTGTCTATTCAAATTTTCAATTTTTCGTTGTTCAGTCTCTCACTCAAATAGTAGATTTCCTTCCTCGTTTCCCTCGTAAATCTGATCAACATGCTTCTTTACATGATTTGTTCTTTACCTCCTTCACTAGCACTTATCGAGCATCACAACTCTGCCCTCTTGGTAATTCGTATCACGCCTGTTGTATCTATTGATATTTCTTTTAACCTACTATTCACAAGACGTCTTTTTGTTACCAGCGAACTGATTACGACTTTCTTCAAGATGACCCTTCGATTAATATTTTTACCCTTACTACTAAGAATTGTGCCACTGATTTTTCTTCGTAGGTTAAAGCCTGTTCAGCTTCTATATCCCCCATGGATCAGTTTTTCCGGCTGTACCGGCATGATAGTTCCGATCACAACAGACACCTATTGTGTTTGCTTGTATAATAACTGTAAACTTGTCCTCGAATGAGGTACCGTAAGAAACTTGGCTCAGTGTATTGAATTGTTTATTTAATATGTGGAAGAATGTGTACGCTTCATGGCTTTAGGTTAATTATCTTGATCGGGTTCATCATTTTTCAGCTCATGCTCGTATACACACATTCATACATGCATAAATGACTAAAAAGAAGACAACTAATATATATTTCTTAGTCATTGCAAATGCATTTCGCCAATCCGAATTTATCAAGGCAAGTTTAAAAAGGAAATGTTTTTTTTAGTTATATTAAAGTCAAAATATTATAAAGGGGGCACTCTGTGTTATCCCCCCCCCTTCTGGATTTTACTAACTTTTTATTTTATTTCGTTTTAAAACTTGCCTAAATAAAGTCGGGTTGACGAAACGCGTCGCAATGATTAAATTGTCTCCTTTTTTCCAAATTGTCTTATTTTCAGACTTATTCAGAGTAATTTAACATATGCGTATATGTATTTTTATTACTGTAATTCTTATTTTTCGTGGGTACATGTACTTGAGTTGTTACCGTTTTTTTTTTTTATAAACAGCGAAATTAATATCAACCGACGAAAATTAAAACGTTTATATTAATTAGAATTAATATCGGATAAAAAGCTTTAAAAACGACTGTTGTTTACGCTTCAGTAATGAAACTAAAGCTAGCAAATATAGATTCATAGAAGTCTCAAGGAGAAGGTTATGATTTCCTTAAAACGGCTTATTATAACTTAACCCTGACTATCGGGATTTGCAACAAAAGAGTACTGAACTGCAAAGTGATATCTGTCCTCCTTTACAGCAACGAATGTTGGACAGTCATCTCAGAGATGAAGAAGAGACTCGAGGCAACAGAGGTATAGTTCTACTATAGTTCTGCTAAGGATACCATGGACATAACTTGTAAGCAAAGTTGAGGTTTTGGAAAGTTTCCAAACAAGAAGGAAGCTTTACTTAACACCAGGAAGAGGCAGCTGAATTTTCTGGGACGCCTAATGGGAAAGATGGGCTTGGAGAATCTGATACTCCTAGGGCGAATAGAGGGAAAAAAGACAAGGAAAAGTAATGCATGGCATACCTAGCGAGCTTAAGAAAGTGGATGACAGAAAAAGGGTCTGAAAGAAGTAGCAAAAGGATAAAACATATTGAGATCAAAAGAGATAGAGCAAAGTGGAGAGCCATGCCTACGTCCCGAAGGGACACGGCATATAAAAGAAGAGGCCGAACTGGTAGAGGAAGTCTTCTGTTTAAGAAAGTTGCTACCAGTCGGAGGCAGACTTTCTTTTATAGGACATCTCAGTTTAGGCAGCTTCATATTAATTTCATTATTAACTTTCATTATTAATTTAATTGTTTAATAAATTAAAAAAAACACAAGTATCCACAAAAAATAATGTTTATAATAAGAAGAAATAATATCGGATAAGAAAAAAGTATTTAAAAAATGACATATATTTATATAGATATACATAGTGTGGATATAGGTATAAACAACGCATGGTAACTGTCAGTTTCACGCCGCAAGTAATCTTTTAGCTGGCTCTCTATAGAGGCCACGGTAGCATTAAAGAAATTTGAAAGTATGAATACTGAGTGTGAAAAAAAAACTGAGAAAATATTATTAAGTGGAAAAGATAATAAACGAACAGGTTTAAAAGGACAAAACATGACGATTAACGATGCATTTCAATTTCTGAAGGTTTTTATTGACAGAAAAGCAAGAAGCAGAAAGAGAGTCCCACAGGCGAGAAGTGCGAGAAGAAAAACAAAAAATGCAAAAAACAAAAGAAAAAAGTTATTAAATGGAGGACTAGTCTTTTTACTCATAATATGATAAATATAGCTGAGTAGGATTTTCGTTTTAGTGTTTGCATTTGAAATCAGCTCTTTTATTTACCAGTGTGTCCTTTGTTTTAGAAAAGTGATTATCTTTATTCTCTCCTCTAAAAAGGTTTTGTAGTATTTTGTAAGCTTGTGTTGTTTTTCTTGTTTTCTGTGTTATCATTAGAGTGCTAAATTAGTTGTCATATATGCTTTGAAAGGGTTTGTGCTGTTTGTAAATTTTTTTTTATTGGTTTCTATGACTACACTGTCTATATATATAAAAAATATATAATAATAATAATATATATATATATATATATATATATATATATATATATATATATATATGATATTGGCCACTCATTCCTAAAAAACAATATAACAAACTTTAGAACTTACTCACACATCTACGCTGCCAACCTACGCATGATACCAACATGTTGATACATAAATTTAAAAAAAAAAAATATAGCCATTAGTCCTCTCACCAGAATGAGGACTGAACTCTATACGTAAAGGAAATAATATATTGTTACTGATACGCCAATCCTGTCTAAGTTTCAATTTCCTCCTGAATATTACCAGAGGCGCTAATGCAATGTTCTCCTGATGAAGTTTGGAAATCTGAACACCTTAAATGACTAGATGAATAAATTACATATATGTAACTATTAATAAAGAAAAATATATAATTAATCATTTGTGAGTGGTTATTCTCTGGGAAATTTTGCCCTTGGTTAGAAAACCACTCGGAGCTCGAATGAGCTCAATAAATTTATGAAAAGAGTTCGTGCAACGTTGAAAGTCTTAATGGAAATATTTAAGATGATGCATTTTTCGTCTGCCTTGGGCAGCAACGGAATGCAAACCCATCAATCAATTAAGTACTTCTTGGGACTTAATATAAAAGAAAACTTCATATCGACGCCTCTCAATAGACTGACACGTCGGAGAAGTGAAGGAGATGCGTGTCGTCCCAATCCGGGATTTTAGTCGCTCTAATTCGCTTATTTGAAAGCAAGTTGACGTGAAGGCGTGTGCTGATAGAAAATGTGTAAATGATGGACGAAGATAAATCTCGTCTTGTCACTTTCCTCAGAAGAAGTTGAGCGGGAAAAACTAACTGGAAAAAGCGAATCGACTTTATTGAATCATTATAAGTATTTCGACATTTATTCCAACGCAGAAATCTGAATACAAAATGCAATTACGGCGGATTGATATGATTTCGAAGCTGTCCCGAAAGTTTTCTAATGTTTCTTAATTTAATAGTTCATCGCTTTTCATGGGACCAAATAGGTGGAGAAATATTTATAATTGAATATTGTTTTCAGAAACACATTCTCACACACACTCATATACACATACTCATATATATATATATATATATATATATATATATATATATATATATAAATGTATGTGTTTGTGTGTGTGTCCGAAATGTGTTAGAAGTGTGTTATAAGCACAAGTATATATAAATTTAACAAATATAGACTCATTTTGCATATAGACCAATAAACATATACATAAACACACAAACATGGGAGTGTAAATAGGAGTCAATCGATGTATACTGTAATCAATTAGTAGATTATATACATAATATACTTACATTCATATCGATGACATGTAAGGAACATATCTAAAACCTGCAATGCATGTATCACATTGGTAGTTTAGTTACGATTACAATAATTAAATAGAAAAGTACAGATAGGCATAAACAGAGTGATATTGATAGATAGATAGATAGATAGATAGATAGACAGATAGATAGATAGATATATAGATAGATATGAACAGATTGAGATAGATAGATAGATCGATAGATAGATAGATAGATAGATCTGAATAGGCTGAGTTAGATATGGATATAGAGAGGGAGAGTTAAAATATAAATAGATATATAGATAGATTTCTTCACTGTATTTTCGGGTAAAAATATTAGTCCCACATGAATTAGTAAATGTAATGTTGAACACTAATATTGTTCGTTTTCATTTGCGCTCTCTTGCTATACTAACATAGATTTTTTAAAGTGAACATGTGAATCTAATTGAATACAAATTTTACTGACATACGTATCACAACCTTTCTCGTATATCTAAATAATCAGACATGTGTATGTATTTCCGTGCATTTGGCTGTGTGTGCATATGATCCTTGCGTGTTTCTATGTATGCACGTATTGGGATAGGTATATCAATCGATAATGATCATGTAAAATGAAATATATGGATTATTTAAGAAGCATAAAAGAATGGGAACTTTGCGTTGAGAGGAAGTGTCGATTCGATATGCCTTAATGCATTGTTGTTCAAGAGTTATTTTTTCCAACTGGTTTATGAAATTCACTGTGGTCGTTGCTAATGCACTTTCAATGGAACTTAATTTGAAATGAAGCCATTCAGTTGAGTTTTTCATGTAGCCGAAGGATTCTGACTCATCACTCGTTTTATGACGTCATTTCCTCTTCTAAATTATATTTGGCTTTAAAGCGCCAAATGTATTACAGTGATTAGAGTCCTTGTTTGGTCTCTCTGAAACACATTGCCATACCAACCTATACACTATTATTATTTCACTTCTAAATACAAAGCAGAAAACATGTTGACTACTAGTACCATTTTTAGTCATCTTAACTGCAATTTTAAATTTATGTTTTAATATCTTGAAAGAACAAGCCGTGAATGTAATTTATAAATTTTCGCAAGTATAAGTTAAAATAATAAATAAACAAATACTCTACACTTTATAATCATTTGAAAGGTTTTAACCCATTACATACATACATATATATATATATATATATATATATATATATATATATATATATGTTAACTGATTTAAAAATATATTTCCATCGCTACATAGGAATTACCATGTTTCAAAAACAGAGACTAAAACATCAAATTCAATTTTATAATTAAATTAAATGTCATGGTTTTATTTTCAAGCGAATTTTGGAATAACTTACTTTGAAATTTACTGAGATTTATACACACATACATTCATAATATTTGTTTCCAAGGATAAGGAGAAATCCAATCATTTTGACAAGGGGCGGTGGCATTTTTATTTATACTGACGACTATTGTATCAAATATGAGTTACTTTCGAAAAGAGCTTAAGTCTAGGTATATATATATATATATATATATATATATATATATATATATATATATATATATATAAATAATTGTATGAAAAAGTGAAAAAAAAGTTTACTTGTGATACGTTTCGTCCTTCAGGACTTCATCGGACGAAATTTTGTTATGTTGGTAGGAATACACATGCGCATGACAGAGGCATGCTGGGAAAACCCTTATTTCCTTTCCTTTCAAAGAATTTTTCCTTTTTACTCAGGATCGGTATCTTGCTGAAAAATCTCTTCTCTTGGTAGTTTGAATCTCTTCACAGATGAAAGCATATTTTTCTATAATATTTTACGACAGATGTCACTCTTTAATTGTCCTTCAATGAAGTATATCGCACTCAATAATACTCTAGGGAATCACCCCAAAACATTATATTTCTACTGCCATGTTTAGCTGTCGAGATCATTTTTTTTTGTGATCATAGGAAGTGTGTTTGCTTCTAAACAAAATAGAAATATTGAAATATTTCGATTAAATAATTCGAATTTAATGAAACGATAATATTTTTTCAGTATATGAAGTCAGCCTTTTGAGATGATGTTGCGAAAAATGAGCAGGTACCTTCACGTGCATGGGTTATTGTAGATGTGTTTTTCTATATGTCTGAGAATGCAGTTCCCATATGTTGCAGTATCCTTGCTTACATCTGTTCCATATATCTGCATATCCTTCTGAATTTCTCTTCGGTTTATGAATGACTTGTTAATTATTTTCAAGTTGTATCCTCTGTTATTTTATGAAGTCCTCTTTCCGAGACATATTAATAATCAGGTCAAGTACATTCAAATTTTGAATGAGGCTTTTCAGTGCTATGACAGACATCTTGAACCCATTGGGAGATATTTCGATAGCTTCGTTAACGATTTTGATAATTAATTCTCATCTCGTTAAATTCTTAAGGGGCCTCGTTTGTTATTTTGGTAATATTTGAAATTGCAAACCAGATATTCAATGAATATTCAACGTACATGTAGGCGTTGTAAGGTAACGATCAAGGTGTGTGGTTTGCTCTAAATGGTTGGTAGAAATTTGTATATTAATAAATTGAACGGGAGTCAACTTCAGGCTTCCATTTCTTTCCTGCTTCATTACTATTTTCAGAACGTATCTAAACTGTGTTACATTCTTTTGAATTTGTTGTTATACAGTCAACGACGAAATTATTCGTATACTCATCAATTTTGAATATTTTTATCTATTTCTCAGAATCTAATACCCGTATGATGAAAGGTTTTTTTTATATGTTAATAAGCACAAATAAAGGAATATAAAACTCAATTTTCAGAACAATAGGTTAAATAGAACAAAATTTACAGGCGAATTATGCAAATTAAGCAAAGACAAAATTATTCGTACAGTAGAAAATATCGTTTTAAATTGTTTGATTCGTCTAAGTAATTTACATAATTATTTTATCGGTGAAGACTTCTATACTATTTATTCAGTAGAATATTTGTGATAATTTCAGCAAAGATAATTACGTGGTGCATAGAGTGCCACCATTGTTATTCTTACGTTAACAACACGATGGGAAAGACAAGAGGAGCTTAGCGTTGACTTGAGACAGAGAATTATTAACTTCCAAAAGTCGGGAAGTAGTTACAGCGATATTTCAAAACTGGTTAGCTATCCCTATATTTATGGTACAGTCCATTATAAATAAGTTTAAACAGTTTGGCACGACAGAGAATTTGCCTGTGCGTAGAAGAAAACCCAAATTGTCAGCGAGCACTTCACGAAAACCATCTCGTGAGGTTAATATAACCCAAGAGTTGTTTTGAAAGACATCACCAAAAGTTTGGATACGGTGAATATCAGCGTAAGTACTTGTGCAATACAACGTTGTTTAAATAGAAGGAATTGTATGGAAACTGATCACGTCGAATCTCTCTTCACAAACTGTGTCCCATTCTTGCTCGATTTAATTTTGCCAAAATGTTCTTGAACAAAGAAAATTGCTTTTGGGAACAAGTACTATGGAGTGATGAAACAAAAATTGAGCTTTTTGGACATAATGATGTATAGAAGATTAGGCGCAAGAAAGGTGATGCATTCATACCAAGGAACACAGTGGCAACATTAAAACATGGAGGCGGGTCGATGATGTCTGGGGGTTGTTTTAGCTCAAGGGTGAGTGGACAATTAATTTCAATAAGAGGAATAATGAAATCTGCAGATTATATAAAAATTCTGGATGAAAATCTAAAACTATCAGCGCAACATCTTCATTGAGGTGGGCGATTTATTTTCCAGCACGATAATTATACAACCATACGTCCAAATCAGTGACTGCATGGCTTCAGAAAAAGAAGATTGCAGTTCTGCTATGGTCTTTAATGAGTCCTGATTTGAATCCTATTGAAAATCTATGGCAAGAATTGAAAGATCGAATAAATCGTCGGTAACAAAAATCCTTCGGGAATTAAAAAGTCTAACCATTGAAGAATGGAAGAAAATCTCAGAAAAGATTTGTTCGAATCTCATCAAGAACATTAGAAGACGATTGAAGCAAGTTATAAAAATGAGAGGTCATGCTATTGACTATAAATATTTTGAAAATTGTTCAAGTTTTTCTATTTTTCATACTCTGCGAATAATTTTTCCTTTTCTTGTTTTGCATAATTCTCCTGCCAAATTTGTTTTAATTAACCTATTGTTCTGAAAATTGGGTTTTATATTCATTTTTGTGCTTATTAACATATACAAAACCTGGCATCATACAGGCATTAGATTCTGAGAAATGGATAAAAATCTTCAAAATTGTACGAATAATCATTTCGTTGACTGTATGTATGCGTAGGTAGACATTTCTTGTTCTTTCTTTACACGTGTATGTAGGTATATTGTATGATAAATTTGTAGACCCCAGTGGACTATAAGCGGCGCTTCCTGATAACTGCACGTTGTGGCTGTGGTATCTGTAGCAACTAAATTTTCGGCGTGGAGTTCCTAACCCCATACATAACTGGTTTTGAATTCAGAATTGTTGTTTTAGACAAGTTACCGAGGAAAGCTATAGAACACCAGTTCATTATGCTCACTTGCGGAGAAGAGATACATTCGTACCATTCAAGATTAATTGTGCGAAATCTAAAAGAAAGACTGGAAATTGAACTCAGTGCCTCATTCCCACATACCCTGACGATAGCAACTACACTATGCGCACATCTATTCCCCACCTTTTTTCAGCTCAATGATTTGACGACAACCTCTAAATCTACATTCATTTCTTACATCTTCTAGACCGGGGTCGGCAACCTACGGCACGCGTGCCACAAGCGGCACGCCAAGGAATTTCGAATGTCACGCAACCGCAAATAACATCACAGAAGTCCGAACTAATAGCTACTACTACGCAAAGAAGATATTTAGCTGTTTCAATTTTAATATATACTAAAGTGTATATATATATATATATATATATATAGTTAGTTTATACAAAACTAGGTAATCCGTATGTGTAGACCCAAGGAGGATGATATCCAGAGAGCTCAATGTAAATTCAGAGCAAATATGTTTGAATAAAAACATTTTTTTGTCATTTTTCATTTCAACTTTTGGAAGTAAAGTCTGATGATCCAAAGCCCTTTAAAAGGGTTGTGGTGAAATAACGTATTACATGGAACCTTAAAGTGGTCTGTTTTTATTCAAATATATATATATATATATATATATATATATATATATATATATATATA